GAGTTGTTGTTTAACTTAACTTTGTAACATAAATGTTGTAATTTCTGATATCAGTTATCTGCCATTTATATAGTCCAGGCATCCCCAGACTTTTTACACAGGGGGCCAGTTCACTGTCCCTCAGACCGTTGGAGGGCCGCCACATACTGTGCTCCTCTCTCACTGACCACCAATGAAAGAGGTGCCCCTTTCTGAAGTGCGGCGGGGGTTGGGGGGGGGTTGCAGATAAATGGCCTCAGGAGGCTGCAGTTTGGGGACGCCTGATGTAGTCAATAGCCAATACCTTAGTAGTGCTGATACAGTGCTTACCCTCTGCCAGGCACTGTCTATGCACTGTACATAGGTTTACTTCTCATAATGACTTTGTGAGGTAAACACTCTTCAATTAGCCTTTTTTCATGAGGAGAGTGAGGCACAAAGATGTTCAGTAACTTGGGCAAGTTCACACACAGCCACTAAGTGGGAGAACTCTGATGTGAACCCAGGTAATGAGCTTTGTAGTCCAAGCTCTTGCTTTTTAAGACTGTGTGTAGGACTTAGAATCCATAGGACTAAATGTTCCCTTGTTAGTTTAGTTTATTATTTGAATTTGGTTTGAAGTGGAGAGTGCTGCTACCCCAATTCTTTACCCCATGTCCGTAACAGGCATTATGAATCCTGATAGCACTTTTCTGCTGAGCTAGGACATGGCCTGGCCTAAGGCCACGTCTAAGTTCTCTTTATATACTGCTTTTCTTGACCTTACCTATAAAATCTCACTTACCATTACTTTAAATTTCAGCATGTTGAAACAATGGATTGTAACTTTAAAACAAATGAAATTGTCAAGTGAGACTAACAGCTGCCTTCAAAGCATTTAAACATACAAACAGGCACTATTGAAGACTGGAGAGTTTTCAAAATGGCAATTTTTTGGCAGTCTTGCTGTGAAGTAAATGTTTTTTAAAGGGAAGGACATCGAAAATATTGTAATTACATTACTTACATCTTGTTGGGTTTGTGTTTGACTTTACTTGGCCTGGTATTCAGTTAAGAGTCAAAGTTGATGCTATTAATTTAGTTGAGAAGGATACATAGTACATGTAGTTTATCCTTTTCTTTAGGCAAATGGAAATAGAAACATTTATTTGGACAGACCAAGTAGGTAGTTATTCTCTTGATTTAGCAAATCTTTAGGAATAACTTTTAAAGAAGTATTAAGGGCTCTGACAATACCTATGGGACTTTTTTCTTTTTTCAAATTACTCAGTTTTTGGCAGCTGGGTAAAAAGGGGCAGGAATGTCTGATTTAGGTTAAGTCCTTTCACAAGTAGAGTAGGGATGTACCTGGTAGAGAACAGTGTGGATTTCACTTTCTGAGGTTTTAGTTACTCAGTCAAACCATAGTCCGAAAATGTTAAATATTCTGAGAGAGAGAAGACTATAGCTGCATAACTTGTTAAAATATATTGTTGTAATTGTTCATTTTACCATTAGTTATTGCTGTTAATCTCTTACTGAACCTTATTTATGAATTAAACTTCATGCATGTGTATTGATAGGAAAAAACATGGTTTGTGTAGAGTTCAGTACTATCTGCAGCTTTAGGCATCCACTGTGGGGAGGCGGTCTTGGGAGATACGGGGGAACTGCTGTACAATTACCAGGCACATGCAGGCTCTGGGATTTTACAAATGCGTAAAAGTGGTTCTTGCTATTTAAGCACTTACAGTGGGAGTAGAGTAGAGTGAAAAACATGGAAATGTGATTTTAATATGTTGTAAATGCTTTGATGGTGGGAGTTTTGTGTAAAACATCCTTTTAATTGGTACCTTAAATTTTAATTTTTTTTTTTCATGGATCTGCTTTGGTCCTACACTTTCAAAGAACTATCTGGACACTGTAGATCTGTCATGATATACTTTATTAGTTATGTTATTAATGGTAGAACAGCACGGAAAGTCTTACAGAATATTAGACAGGGATAGCTGTAGTACCAAAACATAAAATGCCAACTAATGTTTTCACCAAGACATAAAATATACATCTTAAAAAATGAATTGTAACAACACCCATATTATACATCAGTGAAAATTTGTACAGGGGTGCTACCTCCAAGGAGAATGTTTGTCTAGGCAGCAGATGGACTGGAGGTGATTAGTCTATGAGCTAATTAGGCTACAGATCTTTCCTTTTTATTTGATTCCTTTTCCTTCTAGTTCCTAGGCCTTTGAAGTGCCAAGTTGTCTTAAGTAATTTGTATAGAATTAGTTAAGTTCATCTGTTAACCGACTAGCAGATAGGAAGAAAATTGTTGTCATGAAATTATTTTTAAAAAATAATGCTCCAGTTTCTTCCCATCTTTGATGTCTTTTGGTCCCACCACACTGCCTTCCTAACACCATTTTCTGCTTTACCTCAACGCCGGGGTTATCTTGAGTTTAGTCTTCTCAATCTGAGTGACTGTCAGCTTTACTCCACTTGAGCAACTTGCAGGCAAGGCCACACTTGGAACCTTTTCACTTGGAATAGTTCTGTCTTGGTGATTTCATCAGCCTTCTTTATATGAAGTTCTCACTCAAATTCCTGCCCATTCTTATCTCTTCACTCCCTTTAGATTCTCAGTCTTTTTAATTTGTGACTTTCACTCTCCAGGTCCATCCTTGTTAAATGTCTACCAGCCAGACTTAGTTGCCCCGGTCTAGCTTTCTCTTGCCCAGACTTAAGATTTCTTTAGGTTCTTCCTTTGCCTTTTGAAATTCAGCTCAACTTTTAAGGTTGAGTTCACTTGTCACCTTTCTTGCCATCCTTCTGCAGTTCCTAATATTCTATTCTTTCCCCGAAAGTGCTTTTGTATAAACAGCCTTCTGTATCTGTGAATTCCAAATCCACGCATTCCAAATTCATGGGTTCAACCAACTGCAGATAAAAAATATTCAGAAAAAAGTGAAGGATGGTTGCCTCTGTACTGAACATGTCTATACTTTTTTCCTTGTCATTTTTTCTTAACAATACAATATAACAACTATTTACACAGTATTTACATTGTATTAGGGATTATAAGTAATCTAGAGATGATTTAAAGTATATAGGAATTTCTCACATCCCAGGAAGCCAAATTTAAAAAAAAAGTATATGGGAAGCTATGCATAGGTGATATGCAAATATTATACCACTTTATATCAGGGACTTGAGCATCCATGGATTTTGGTATCTGAGGGGTGTCCTGGAACCAATTCCACAAGGATGCTGAAGTAGGACTGTCTATCTCATACTATATTTTCCCCCCTTTCTTAGGTAGAATATCAGAGGCAAGGATTTAATCATATTACTATATTCATTTTATTCAAGTTCGTATACTTTGGCTGGGTCATAATATTTATGACGTGCTTGAGAAAATGAATTTCTTTGCCCCTTTGTTTCGGCTCTGAGTAAACAGCCATCTGCTTTCTCTGTAACCTGTTGGTGGTTGAGTATTTCTGTAGAAAGTTACCCACTGACCTCAGAACTCTTCTAAATCTTCTCCTTAGGCAGTTTTCTCTGTGCATGAGGTTTTATGTAAACAAATAGATGAAGCCTGCCCTACTCATTTATTTGTTCAAGCCAGAAAGTCACCTTTTTCTTCATTTTCCATATTTAAATCATCATTTGGTGAAAGTTCTGGCCTAAATAACTCTTTATTCATGTGCTTTTCCCTGTCATCGCCAGTATGGCGTAGAAGCCTCTGTCACCACCCCTTGTGTGGATGTTGTGCTGCAGCAGCATCTTAATCTAGTTGCAGTTACTCTTTTACTCCTTCACTTAAAACAGTAAAAGTGGCTTCCCATTGTTCTTAAGAAAAAGCACAGATTGTTAGTTTGGTCTGCAAAGCTTTGCACACCCTGACAGAGAATGTCCTCCTAATAATTTGAAGATACAGTATGATTTTAATACTGTAGAAGAAAATGTTCTAGGAAAAGACACTTGTTTAGACTTAAGGTGAGGTCTCTGTAGTATGAATTAGACATCTGGTGAACTATAAGCTGTCCCTGCATTTAAACGTAATTGGTTCTTAGAGCCTGCAACTAAAGATAAGGCAGAAGAATTTACTTTGCATTTCCTGCATTCCTCTTTTCACTTGATAACGAAACTCCTCATGTTAGTAAAGGTGGCACAAGAGGCAAAAATACAGACTTTATCACAGTGTTTAAGGAGAGGTGCATGGTTCAGTGTGTGAGGAGAGAGTACCTTTGTACATTTATTACATGTTGAACTCTTTGTAAATTTTACTTCTTGGATTGATCTTTTTCAGTTATTCCATTATGCCTTCTGTAACAGCTAATTTAATGATGAAAAACTTAGAGTATGTCTTTATATTTTCTTCCCTTCACTAATGTGGATCTCATAGAGTTAAAAACTAGGTTATGGCCGGGTGCGGTGGCTCAAGCCTGTAATCCCAGCACTTTGGAAGGCCGAGATGGGTGGATCACAAGATCAAGAGATCGAGACCAACCTGGTCAACGTGGTGAAACCCCGTCTCTACTAAAAATACAAAAAATTAGCTGGGCCTGGTGGCACGTGCCTGTAATCCCAGCTACTCAGGAGGCTGAGGCAGGAGAATTGCCTGAACCGAGGAGGCGGAGGTTGCGGTGAGCCGAGATCGCGCCATTGCACTCCAGCCTGGGTAATGAGAGTGAAACTCCGTCTCAAAAAAAAAAAAAAAAAAAAAAAATAACTAGGTTATGGTATAGTATACTGAATTCCTGTAATGGGATCATGTTTCTGTAATATGGCTGCAATTTAGTGTAGAATTTTTGTAAATAAAAGTATATTTTAAAAATATATTAAATAAAAACTCAAACTTTCAATGAAATGTTTTAAGGATTTAACCATACAGGAAAAATGAGCCCCTTTCTGTAAATACCAACAGTGTAATATGTGTCATTTCTTCACTGATTGTTAGTTTGCTGCGGATTAAAACACAGGTGATCATATTCAGGCTGGTTAGATTAGTGATTTTAATATGAAACCATTGCTTTTAGAATAATCATGGGCCAGACTGGGAAGAAATCTGAGAAGGGACCAGTTTGTTGGCGGAAGCGTGTAAAATCAGAGTACATGCGACTGAGACAGCTCAAGAGGTTCAGACGAGCTGATGAAGTAAAGGTATACTTTTATGTTTTGTGAAAATGAATATACAATTAAGGATAGGTTCATTTTTTCCCCCTAAGTTCAATAAGTTTTTATTTGAAATAATGTATTTCTAGCCAACTTTATATTTACAGTAAGATAAGTGAATACTTGGAAGCTTAGGTTCTTGATCTGTCTTAACGTTACAATATGCACATTAATCAGTTGTTGTTTAGTATACTTTTACTTGCATGTGCAGACCTAAATATAAAGGGATGTATTTCATGGTTTTATATTTTTAAAGTCGTTGTGATTAAAAAAATACACACACACACACACACACACACACACACACACACACACACACACAGTCAACAAAGAAAGGATGGAAATGATTTCCTGTTCCTTAACCACTTGCAATAAAATAACAGATGTGGTGTTTTTGTATCATTTGAATGTGGAAAACTATTGTGTAAAATCCACATGCACCTGAGAAAATGTTCTTGATGTTGAGAAAACACTAGATTTTTAACCTGCTTTAGAGGTGTTACACATTTTCTAACAATGAACAATTTTTCCTCTCCTCTCCTTCATTTTTTTTTTAAAGAGTATGTTTAGTTCCAATCGTCAGAAAATTTTGGAAAGAACGGAAATCTTAAACCAAGAATGGAAACAGCGAAGGATACAGCCTGTGCACATCCTGACTTCTGTGAGCTCATTGCGCGGGACTAGGGAGGTTGGTTAACATAACATGTTGTAGTAATTATCATCACCTTTTGGTTTTTGCTATTGGAACATTTGTTTGGTTATTGGGAGGAAATCATTGACCTCAGGGTGTACATTTTTTTAATTGCTATTTCTTTTTACTGTGCAACTGTTAATGGCTGCTATAGATCCCACTACTAGCTATTCCTAAACCAGAGTTCTAATTGTTTGGAATATACTTTGAACTAGGTAGATGCCAGATTTTGTAAGACTGTTAATATTAAAAAAAACTTTTACATCAAATACTCTTTAATGTTCTCATCAGATCACTATTTGGAGCAAGGTTTTCTGACTCACTGTGGTAATGCCAATTTGAATTAGCCATGTGGTAAGAAATGTTTTCATATTCATGGACCAGAAAGCTTTTTATTATATATGTTGTTCAAAGGTAAGCCTCTCTATAAGAATTTAAAATTTTCTTGTTGAGAGATTAGAATTTCTATTTCTATAGTATTTTCTGAACAAGGTAGCTCAATTACTTTAAGAGTTTCCTATTTTCAAAGAAAGGCAGTAAGTCTATGGTAGAATCTATAATTAAATATCCCATTAAAACATGCTTGCAGCAAGGTAAGAAGAAAATGGCAAAGCCTAAATAGCTTAGGCATTTTTGTTTTAAGTGCCTGTGTTGTATAGAAAGATACAGCATAGGATATTTAAAGGGAGTTGAAGCAAAAGGGGAGAGAGTGATTTGGAATTAAAATTACACTGTGTAGTAGATTGTTTATCTGAATGTCTAAATATGAGACACCTAAACAATGGAATTTGTTTTAAAGTAATTTTTCAATGAGTGGTCATTTTGAATATAACATTATTGTAACAAGCAACAATTTGCTATTCTATGAGACCTTTTGGAAATAATGTGACATACCGGCTTCAAAGACTTGTCAGTGATATCCCAGTAGCAACAGCCATAATCCCAATGATGATTTCAGTGATATTCTGGTGGTCCAGATTGTGATATATGGAATGATTCTTAGTCATTTATGCATTTTGTTAGGTGACACCTCTGTAAAGCTCTGACTTATAATTGTATAAATATTATACACTGACCCTTTCCTCCTCATCTGGTATAGGCCAGAGCCTAGATGTTACAGGCCAGTGGCTTAGGGGAAAGGGATTTTCTTCTATGCCCATCAGAATGTTCTTCTTTTTTTGAGACGGAGTTTCGCTCTTGGTACCCAGGCTGGAATGCAGTAGGCGTGATCTCGGCTCACTGCAGCCTCCGCCTCCTGGGTTCAGGTAATTCTCCTGCCTCAGCCTCCTGAGTAGCTGGGATTACAAGCACACGCCACCATGCCCAGCTAAGTTTTTTTTTGTATTTTTAGTAGAGACGGGGTTTCACCATGTTGACCAGGATGGTCTCCATCTCTTGACCTCGTGATCCACCCGCCTCGGCCTCCCAAAGTGCTGGGATGACAGGCTTGAGCCACCGCGCCCCGGCCCAGAATGTTCTTAAAGGAAATAAGGATGGTGCTTTTAATTGTCTTGAAAGTTTTATCTGGTGACCTTTTAGAAATGCTGAAGTGAAGGAAAAACCACATTTTCTCCCTGGAGGAATAAATCTTAGAAATTTGGAGAAATTAGGTAGATTTATGTTGAATACTTATTTTTGCCACCATTATGAATCTCAAAATGCTTCTGAAAGCCTAACTTAGGCTTATAGTAAGAGTTAACAGCAATAATGAATTATGTCACTGTGCTAGGTACTTTGTACACATTACCTCATTGAATTTTCATGGTAAGGAAGGAATATTATACCCTTTAAAAAAAAAAATCCAGGCAAGGAAACTGAGCCTTAGAAGAGTTAAGTCAGTTTGCCCTCTCTAATGATCTGATGTGGGCCCAAAGGAATGCACTTTGCTCAGACACATGAAGGATTAGTGAAGTACATTATTTACATTCAACTTGAATTGCATGTATAATATTTGGCATTAAATTTAAGACGTTTGTTCAAGTGGATGTTTACTAATTGAAATTTTCTTTTAATTTTGTAAAATGGAGACATGTCATTGAATATAATGATACCTAATTTTTTTGAGTTTATGTGAAATGTGAGACGAAATCACCATTTTAGTAAAACAAAATTATTTTCTAAACTTAGTACTTCCGCATTATCCTCCCCACCCCACCCCCACACAGATAGAGAATAAACATTTTCACCAAATATTGGAGGGAAAGGAGGAAAATAATCCCCAGCCTTAGGAATCCAGTTTTTGTTGTATAGAACTCTGACCTTAAGGTCATTAGTGTTTTTTGGCGCCAAGTGTTGGTAGCTGATCCTGCTTCAAATTATTCATCTTTTATTCCCCTTTCCCTCTTGGCAAACCATCATCCAAAGTTTTACATAGTTTGTGATAAGCTTCTTGGTGTTATCACAATAAATCATAGTTTTAGGGCTGAAAAGGACCTTAGTGGTCTCATGGTCCAACTTCCTGACTTTTCAGATGAGAATATATCCCTGTTTATTTCTTTCTTTGGTTTAAGCATTTTCATCTCCATATTAATTTCTTTTATATGCTTGAAAGACTCTAGTCTGAAGTAGGTCAGGCAGGAGGAGAAAATAAAAGTGAGTCTTGTTTGGCAAAGACTTTCCTAGTGGTAGGCTTGGCAGAATTTCACACTGCAGTATTGATTCAGACATGTAAAGTCTATAGCATTCAACATTTAAAGTACCATTATAGCATTGTTTTAATTAACTGCTTGCTTTTTTATAAGCTAATTGTATGTAAGTGCTGGTGTCTTCCATTTAAATCCTCTGTAGCATGACAAATCACTGACAATTTTTAGTTCTTTTGTCAGGTGTTAAACTTACACTCCTGTTTGTAGTTGTAGACATGGATATACTCGGTTTGAAAATGACTGATTTCTCCAAGTTATTTTGGTAAAGAATGACAAAACGTTTACTGTCTGATCTAATGAACTGAGTGCTTTAGATGCTGATGTGAGGTCAGAGAGCTCTGCATTTGAGCACAGAGACCACATCTCTAGTATGTTGTTTTCTTACTGTGTGTGGTTTTGTTTTGTTTCGTTTTTGTGACAGGGTCTTACTCTGTTGCCTAGGCTGGAGTGCGGTGGTACAATCACTGCTCTCTGCAGCCTTGACCTCCCGGGCTCAGGCAATCCTCCCACCTCAGCCTCCTGGGTAGCTGGGACTACAGTCACACGCCACCACAACAGGCTAGTTTTTTGTATTTTTTTGTAGAGATGGGGTCTCGCCATGTTGCCCAGGCTGGTCTCAAACTCTTGGGCACAACCAATCCACCTACTTTGGCCTCCCAAAGTGCTGAGATTATAGATGTGAGCCACCGTACCCGTCCGTTAATGTGTTTTTAAGATAGTTTGGGGTAACACTTTTTGTTATTGAGATTACAGAACCTAAGCAGTATTGTTCATAGAATTTTAATACTGAATGTGTTGACGTTTTTTATTTATTTAGAGACGGAGTTTTGCTCTTTCGCCTAGGCTAGAGTGCATTGGCGTGATCTCAGCTCACTGGAATCTCCGCTTTCCAGTTTCAAGCGATTCTCTTGCCTCACCCTCCTGAGTAGCTGGGATTACAGGCATCCGCCACCACGCCCGGCTAATTTTTGTATTTTTAGTAGAGATGGGGTTTCACCATGTTGGCCAGGCTGGTCTCGAACTCCTGACCTCCTGATCCTCCCACCTCAGCCTCCCAAAGTGCTGGGATTACAGGCGTGAGCCACTTTACCCAGCCCCAGAATGTGTTTATTGTAAAAAAATTACTTCTGACTTCTTGAAGACAGTGACTATATATGTTTTACATTTATTTCTTTTATTTTTTTATTTTTTTTATTTTTGAGACGGAGTTTCGCTCTTGTTACCCAGGCTGGAGTGCAATGGCGCGATCTCGGCTCACTGCAACCTCTGCCTCCTGGGTTCAGGCAATTCTCCTGTCTCAGCCTCCTGAGTAGCTGGGATTACAGGCACGCACCACCATGCCCAGCTAACATTTTGTATTTTTAGTAGAGACGGGGTGAACATGGTGAACATGTTGACCAGGATGGTCTCCATCTCTTGACCTCGTGATCCACCCGCCTCGGCCTCCCAAAGTGCTGGGATTACAGGCTTGAGCCACCGTGCCCGGCTCTTTTATTCTTAAGTTAGTCTTTTAAAGAAGCAGCCAGCTTCAAAATGTCATTAATCAATACATATAGGTTGAGGGATGTACATTTTATTTCGATAATATGTTGCTGTTCATCAGTAAATTGTTTCTAGGTGAATTTGATCACTTTGTCTTGTCAGCTAGTAAAACTATGTTCTGTAGGTCTTCATATCAGTAGTTTTTCAGTTTGTCTCTTTTTCGAATTTTAACAAAGAAACTGGTTTAAGAGAGAAAAAGTTACTTTTGAGATTCTCATTAATGTATTGCTTTTTCGTACATCTGCCCATTTCTTGCTGATAATCACAAGACGTTTCTTTTTTTTTTTTTTTTTTTTTTTTGAGACAGTCTTGCTCTGTTGCTCAGGCTGGAATGGTGCAGTGGCGCAATCTTGGCTCACTGCTGCAACCTCCACCTCCTGGGTTCAAGCAATTCTCTGCCTGGCTAATTTTTGTATTTTTAGTAGAGACCAGGTTTTACCATCTTGGCCAGGCTGGTCTTGAACTCCTGACCTCATGATTGACCCACCTTGGCCTCCCGAAGTGCTGGGATTACAGGTGTTAGCCACCACACTAGGTCCCAATCACAAGACATTTCTCCTTCCTTTCTATACGTGTTAATGACTGAAAGAGAGGTTTGCTTAGATAATGCCTGTCTTCTGGGCAAATGGTTTGATTAGTAATTTAATCCATCCTGCCAATATGTGTTTCTAGATTTCCAGGAGAATATAATGTTCCTGTAAGAGTTCTGTGTCTTTGTTTAATGAAAAGAGATAATTGGTATATATTTATTCTTGGGGTTTCAGAGTGTCTAAAATAGATGCAGCATCAGAAGGGCATCATAGTCCTCAT